GATTGCTAGGAGGGTTGGAATCGTGGGCATGGTCACGTGCGAATTTTTTGAGACCCCCCCTTCCCACTTCATCAGCTGCTAATTTTTAAAATTTTCAACTTTTTTTATTTTTTTCTGTATTCTTGCAATGTTAATAAATAACTTATAGAAAAATGGATGGTAAAAATATTGATTGCCTTTTTTTTACGGCACTTCAAAAAATTACCTGAAATTCATGCTTCTAGACTAGAATACCCACTTAAATTAACTTCCAATTTCGCACTAAATGCCCCATATACATTAATATATGTCTATTTATTTAGATTAGATGGAAAGAGGGTGTAAGTATTATGGTTTATAAAATTGTACTCCTGAAAATAAATAATAAATAACTAAACAAACTGAATGATTGAAAAATAGTAAAAATATATCAAATTTTTTGGTGAATTCATTTTTATACTAGTGAGTATTAATGTTGAGAAAAAAATATTTACGAAAAAATTTTAAGTTAATAGAATTTATAGTATTGAGCTGAGTTAGAAAATGGTAAAATCTTTTCAAATTCGCATCATGAGAACAATTAAATAAGTTTATATAAAATCTACTAAAAAGAGGAATTCGTTCTGTACGTTACTTCTGTAAAATTTTTAGGAATCGATTTGCTTTACAAAAAAAATAATTTTGCAATGATCAACTCAAAAAATCGTTTATTAAATATAAAACATTTCTCAATTTTTTAATGTCAATATTTTTTCATATGTTGTTTTAATAGTTCTTTTATAATTGTATTATTTTAGACGTTGATTCTAATTTGATTTATTATTGAATAGAAATAGTTTAAGAGGAAATCTACAACTATAATTGTTTTTCAAATATATAGCAACTAATTTTCTCCACTCTACCCTATCTTCAATGATTTGAAATAAAAAATTAAATTCTTCATGAAAAAATTTTCAATACATGTAGAATAAACTCATTAAACATATGTGAAGAGTCTTACTTAGTTATGTGTCTTCCAATTTCATTTCGTAATTCCTGAAAAGATAATTTTTTGGACAATATACAGCCGTTATTTATGTTATAAAAAAACTAAATGGAAATACAACAGCTTTTTAAGTTAAAGATTTCAGCCATCTTGAGTAATTGATTTTCTTTTAATTATCCGAGTAAGTTAGTTTTAAAGAAATATTTTAGCCTAAAGGCAGAATTTTAAGCATTCCATCTAAGTTAATTAGAAAAATAATAAATATTTTTTTCATTTTCGATCTCACTTAAGTGGTTGGAATCATGTCAACCAGTCTAAAATTTTTTTTATTTAGATTTAAAAAAATTTATTTTTATTTTAAAAATTTAAGAATTATTTTAAAGAAGTATTTTAAATGAATAATCAAAATACTTTCAACTTTTTTTTCATCAAGTTTTAAAAATACACCAAAAGTTTTTGTCTCTAGGCTAAAATAATTCCGTGAAAAGGTTTACATTACTGGAGATAAATGAAATAGTTCAATTGTATTGAATTACATGGTCACGGTATTTTATTAACTGGTCATTGGCAGATTCATAATACATATTGAATCAGTTTACATTTTACTTTTTTATACTCTCGCGCAATAACATCATTTCTGATACAATATTTCAAAATTCATTCTTATTGCACACATCAATACTTTTGTTCAATTTTAATGTTCTTCAACCCACTATGTGACCTGCCCAGTAATATCACTCAACATTTTTCATTTTGTCATTCTTTTATCAAAATAATAAAAAACTACTCTATTAAATTCAAATGAAGAATGAAAAAAAATATTTTTTTTGACAACTCTTACGTTTTCTAACAATTTAAAAAATAAATACACTGAAAAATATATTCATGATCAATACCGATAAGAATGATTTAAAATCTCAAACGTGACACCTAAAATTGAAGCTTAAATAATTTTTGAATAAAGATTTTTAGAATTCTTGATTTTTAATCTCAACTTTAATAATCTTGAAGTATAAAAAGTTTCATTTAATTTAATTAGTTTTAGTTCCTAAAATGACGTGGAAAGACGACATAAAATATCGTAAAAATATAAAACTATAGCAAAAACGTTTGCTCCAATTTTTTCAAATATTTTTTTTTTATCTTGTATACTTCAAAAATATAAAACAATTTTGTAATCAACATACACATCACATTATAATTTCTTGAATACTTACGTGGTTCAAAAGATGGGCTTTTTTTTAATTGATATTTTTTATATAATAAAAATAATTGTTTTTTTTTTGTTTTTTTTTTTTTTTTATATATATATAATAAATAAGTTAGTAAGATGTAAAATAGTCTTAGTTAAATGTTCGGACTAGGACTAAAATATTGAAATGAAATGGTATATTGGTTATCAGTCAAAATATTCTTAATTTAAAAATATTAGTCGTCGTCTTAGCTAAATAATTTTTTCAGAAATTTTTTAGCTACCTTGTAAATAGTGAACTGTAGAATACTCATCATTTAAATACTATTGTTTAATTATTATATAAAAATGGAGCTTCACCAATTTTCAGTTATAAAAAATTAAAAAATTTACTTATTTATGAATTGTTTTACTTGTTTCTACTCTTGGGTGAACAGTGATGGAAATTAATTGAGCTTTTAAAAAATTAAATTTCATGAAGATTTTTGAACTTAAAGAGTCTTAAATTTAAAAAGAGTGACTATTTATATAATAAAGACCGCGTGAATTTAAAGGTTCTATATTAGAGCGGCGTAGATTTTTAAGGACTTCTATGCGTATAAATAGAAATGTACCAATTAAAATTTCGATATTTCATTAACAAATTGAGATTAAGCTTCACTTTTGTATAATTGATGATATTTATTATTATTATTTATTACAACAATAATAGTTGTAGTTAGAATATTTTGACTAGTTACCACTATATCAGGTTACTTTAATTTTAAAATGAATAATTCAGTTTGAATTACAAACTATAATTGAAATTCATGCTTCTAGACTAGAATACCCACTTAAATTAACTTCCAATTTCGCACTAAATGCCCCATATACATTAATATATGTCTATTTATTTAGATTAGATGGAAAGAGGGTGTAAGTATTATGGTTTATAAAATTGTACTCCTGAAAATAAATAATAAATAACTAAACAAACTGAATGATTGAAAAATAGTAAAAATATATCAAATTTTTTGGTGAATTCATTTTTATACTAGTGAGTATTAATGTTGAGAAAAAAATATTTACGAAAAAATTTTAAGTTAATAGAATTTATAGTATTGAGCTGAGTTAGAAAATGGTAAAATCTTTTCAAATTCGCATCATGAGAACAATTAAATAAGTTTATATAAAATCTACTAAAAAGAGGAATTCGTTCTGTACGTTACTTCTGTAAAATTTTTAGGAATCGATTTGCTTTACAAAAAAAATAATTTTGCAATGATCAACTCAAAAAATCGTTTATTAAATATAAAACATTTCTCAATTTTTTAATGTCAATATTTTTTCATATGTTGTTTTAATAGTTCTTTTATAATTGTATTATTTTAGACGTTGATTCTAATTTGATTTATTATTGAATAGAAATAGTTTAAGAGGAAATCTACAACTATAATTGTTTTTCAAATATATAGCAACTAATTTTCTCCACTCTACCCTATCTTCAATGATTTGAAATAAAAAATTAAATTCTTCATGAAAAAATTTTCAATACATGTAGAATAAACTCATTAAACATATGTGAAGAGTCTTACTTAGTTATGTGTCTTCCAATTTCATTTCGTAATTCCTGAAAAGATAATTTTTTGGACAATATACAGCCGTTATTTATGTTATAAAAAAACTAAATGGAAATACAACAGCTTTTTAAGTTAAAGATTTCAGCCATCTTGAGTAATTGATTTTCTTTTAATTATCCGAGTAAGTTAGTTTTAAAGAAATATTTTAGCCTAAAGGCAGAATTTTAAGCATTCCATCTAAGTTAATTAGAAAAATAATAAATATTTTTTTCATTTTCGATCTCACTTAAGTGGTTGGAATCATGTCAACCAGTCTAAAATTTTTTTTATTTAGATTTAAAAAAATTTATTTTTATTTTAAAAATTTAAGAATTATTTTAAAGAAGTATTTTAAATGAATAATCAAAATACTTTCAACTTTTTTTTCATCAAGTTTTAAAAATACACCAAAAGTTTTTGTCTCTAGGCTAAAATAATTCCGTGAAAAGGTTTACATTACTGGAGATAAATGAAATAGTTCAATTGTATTGAATTACATGGTCACGGTATTTTATTAACTGGTCATTGGCAGATTCATAATACATATTGAATCAGTTTACATTTTACTTTTTTATACTCTCGCGCAATAACATCATTTCTGATACAATATTTCAAAATTCATTCTTATTGCACACATCAATACTTTTGTTCAATTTTAATGTTCTTCAACCCACTATGTGACCTGCCCAGTAATATCACTCAACATTTTTCATTTTGTCATTCTTTTATCAAAATAATAAAAAACTACTCTATTAAATTCAAATGAAGAATGAAAAAAAATATTTTTTTTGACAACTCTTACGTTTTCTAACAATTTAAAAAATAAATACACTGAAAAATATATTCATGATCAATACCGATAAGAATGATTTAAAATCTCAAACGTGACACCTAAAATTGAAGCTTAAATAATTTTTGAATAAAGATTTTTAGAATTCTTGATTTTTAATCTCAACTTTAATAATCTTGAAGTATAAAAAGTTTCATTTAATTTAATTAGTTTTAGTTCCTAAAATGACGTGGAAAGACGACATAAAATATCGTAAAAATATAAAACTATAGCAAAAACGTTTGCTCCAATTTTTTCAAATATTTTTTTTTTATCTTGTATACTTCAAAAATATAAAACAATTTTGTAATCAACATACACATCACATTATAATTTCTTGAATACTTACGTGGTTCAAAAGATGGGCTTTTTTTTAATTGATATTTTTTATATAATAAAAATAATTGTTTTTTTTTTGTTTTTTTTTTTTTTTTATATATATATAATAAATAAGTTAGTAAGATGTAAAATAGTCTTAGTTAAATGTTCGGACTAGGACTAAAATATTGAAATGAAATGGTATATTGGTTATCAGTCAAAATATTCTTAATTTAAAAATATTAGTCGTCGTCTTAGCTAAATAATTTTTTCAGAAATTTTTTAGCTACCTTGTAAATAGTGAACTGTAGAATACTCATCATTTAAATACTATTGTTTAATTATTATATAAAAATGGAGCTTCACCAATTTTCAGTTATAAAAAATTAAAAAATTTACTTATTTATGAATTGTTTTACTTGTTTCTACTCTTGGGTGAACAGTGATGGAAATTAATTGAGCTTTTAAAAAATTAAATTTCATGAAGATTTTTGAACTTAAAGAGTCTTAAATTTAAAAAGAGTGACTATTTATATAATAAAGACCGCGTGAATTTAAAGGTTCTATATTAGAGCGGCGTAGATTTTTAAGGACTTCTATGCGTATAAATAGAAATGTACCAATTAAAATTTCGATATTTCATTAACAAATTGAGATTAAGCTTCACTTTTGTATAATTGATGATATTTATTATTATTATTTATTACAACAATAATAGTTGTAGTTAGAATATTTTGACTAGTTACCACTATATCAGGTTACTTTAATTTTAAAATGAATAATTCAGTTTGAATTACAAACTATAATTCAAACATTTTTTAATTTAGTTTTCAATTTTATTTATGGTGTGTTAAAATAGAATAACATTATAGATTCTATAAATTATTCTTTTTTTCTATCACGTTTGAGTATAATGAACAATTTTTAATGTTAAAAAAAACAAAAAAATCACTTGCATGGCCATCAAAAAATATTAATGATGAGAATTATTTTAAAATTTTATTTCTATATCAAAATTTTTTCAACTAGCTTGCTTCATTAGATTACTTAAATAATATAAATACTATATGATTATATGAAAAGAAATATTTGTAAAAAAATTTCTTGTTTTATAATCATAAGTACTATTACAATTAAATATTACTAATTTCAATAGAATCACTAGGAAATTGCTAAAACATTTTAATTTTTCTCGAAATTATTATTTTAAAACAAAGTTTAATTTCTTCCATCTTTCTTTTTTCTTCTTTTATTATTGTTGTGAATGAACTCGTATTATTTTACAGAGATAATTTAAAATATTTATAGCACTTTCATTTGCATTTTTTAAGTCTCTCTACTTAATAATAGTCGAAAAAATAATTCAATTGAGGAATGACTTAACTTCAATTTAAGACTATTCATTTTTTTTTTTATGTTTCTAATTGCACAAAGAAGTATACGTAATGAGAGAAATGACCGGAAATTATCAACGATTTAAATTTTATTTGGCACCAAAACACATTTATATCGTTGTATTAATTTCAATATCATTAATCAATAAAAAAAAATCACTGATTTTCAACACTCCTTTAAAATAGGAAGTTTCATTTTTGCTTTATTTGTTTTTAAAAATCGATCTAACTTCACTCTTTCCCGCTCATTTCTTCATTGTCATATTTTCTTTTATTTTATTTTCATGCATTTTTTATTTATTTTTTTTTTTTAATTTCTGCTGGAATTAATTTTTTTAATTTTCTGTTTCTATCTATTGATCATGTACTATTATCGCAATTCATGAAAAAATTATTTAAAAAAATAATAACAAACATTTCACATCAGATCGTTAGGTCTTAATTGCTTCTTATTATTTTTTTCTGTTTGTTTAGAATTAAAAAAAAAACATGCTAAACTTAAATGACTACTTTTATACAGCCATTGCATAATTGTATACATTTCAATTAATTTTATAAAAAAAACTGATTTTTATAGGCAAATAAATTCAATATTATTTTGTCTGTTTTTTTATTTGATATATAAGTGTAAAGCATGCTTAAATTTTCTAAAAAAAATAGCAAAAATTTTTTCTCAGCACAAATGATAAGTCAATTATTCTTCAATGAAGATTCAAATTTATAATTTTAAATATACAAAGACCTGTACTGCGATCTTATCAAATGAATTTGATTGCATTTGAATTCTTTAAATAATAACAAATAAAGTTATAAATATTGTATATTTGCCTAACTATACATTTGAAAATTATATCGTCAGTTAGCTTCAGCATGGAGTAATTTATCGTCACATATGTTATGTCATTAATTTATAATTCATTAATAATTTTATTTTAATGGTCTATCCGTTGACCATTATAAGAGCAATTTCACATAGTTTACCAAAAAGTATAACCACCTTCTGTTCCACCGCCTAAAAACGAGCCTTTCTTTTGTGATAGAGCAACACCATGCCCCATTGCTGCTAATTGAGCTGCATTTGCCGTAACTCCTGGTGGTGGTGGTGGCAGAACTTGCTGTGAAATACCATCGAATCGCGCACCATCAAACCCATTCTATAGATGTAGATAAATTTTCCATCAATTAATCAATTGAAATTTTAGTTTTTGCAGTGAAGTGTGATAACAATGACAATAATTGAGTATTATACTTACTGGAACTAACATAGTTGGCCTTACAGGTGCTGGTTGCATTGCAGCAGCCGGATAATAAGCAGCTGCGGCTGCTAGTGGTGGATAATACTGGAGAGGTCCATAAGCTGTTGGATAACCTGCCAAATATCCTCCTGGATACCCTTGTCCATACATTGGCTGATACATCTTTTAAATAAAATAATATTATTTTCTGTTTTTTTACCTTGATATAATAAGAAAAATGCAAATTGTGAAATTATTGTAGAAATATATTCATGAAATCAAGCGATACTTACCATTGGATGTGTCAACGTTTGATCATATGTCGGAGGTGGTGGTCCTTGTGCTGCATAAAGCTGTGGTTGATTTGGGAATACACCGTAGGGTGAAGTTCCTGCAACTACAAAATCATAATTTAGTTATTTTGATAAGTTAAATTTTTTATTTTTTATGATCATTCAAAAGTGGAACTCCACTTATTTTTGGTGATAAAATAATCAAAAAATCGAATTCGCGACCATTGTTAGGTAGATTTTATGAAATCTATCGATTGCATTGGTCCTTATATCGAAATTTACATGAAATTTTGTTATTATATCTCTTAAGTGGTCGAAAAAGCCTCACAAATAAAATTGGTTTGAAAGTTTATGTACGTATGTATGTATATTTATATTTATACAAATATATATTTATGTAATATAACGTGGCTTGTGGACACGATAACTCCCACAATTCTTGATGAATCCTTATAAAACTCAGTACATTTATTCCTTGGAAAATTAGCTTGAATGAGTTAAGGGGTTACAGGGGTTTCACGACTTCAAAAAATCAATTTATTTTGTCTTATTAAATTCTACAACATCTCTAGAATATTGTCCTGAAGTTTCAAGTCAATCCGAGTAATAGTTTCGGAGATACAGTTTTAAAAAGTTGCGCACTCAAAGGCACTGTTTTATTGTCACTCAAAACTTTAAACGCGTTTTTCTCAAAACTGTAATTTCAAAGACGGTTGTCAAGATTTATCGAGAACTACTCAACCGATCTTGATGAAATTTTAGACAGGTCTCCGAGATACAATTTACACGAACTTGGACAAAAGATTTTTTTTTTTCAATTACAACTATTTAAAAAAAAAAATACCGCGAAATTTTAGCCAAATTTTTCATTTTTTCGTAAAAATCTCTGCCAAAAATCCAATTTTTATTTTTAACTTCCCGCTAGGAAAATCGAAGATTTTCAAAAGTCGGGAATTTATTGGTTTTACCTCGTTTTTCGAAAATTGAGTTCTCATCAGATCTTGACGTTTTGAGGTCCTAGGAAGCTTCCCTGAATGTTTTCGCGATGATGTCCGTATGTCTGTATGAATGTATATATATATATATATATATATATATATATATGTGTGTATGTATGTATGTATGTATGTATGTATGTATGTGACCCAGGGTCACTGACCCTCATAACTTTTGAAGGACTTGACCGATTTCATCGCGGTTGACGCCATTCGAAAGGGCTTTACCAAACTTAGATTTTGAATATCATTTGGACCGATTCGAACCAGTAGATTTTGAGAAATCTCAAAAAAACTACAAAATAAAATTTTTTGAAATGTGGTTTTTTTGGAATTACTTTTAAATGGCTTCACCGATCTATTCCAAAATCTAATCAGCTCTTAAGATAAAAAATCACGTCGATCACCGCAAGCCCGGTCAAAATCGGTTTATTCGTTCGTGAGATCGTTGTCGAAAGAAAACCGAAAAAAGTGTTTTTTCGGAATTACTTTGAAGTTCCTGGCTCTATCGATTTAAACTTGAAGATTCTTCATGAGGCTTCAAAAACTGCGTCGAATGCCGCCAACCGCGTGAAAATCAGTTCATTCATTAAAAAGTTATTGCCGTTTGAAAATTCAAAAAATTGTGTTTTATTAAACTGCTATTAGAGTTTTGAGCTCGAAGAGCTCAAAAACGTAATGTGTAATTTTGAGCGTTTAAGTAAAAAATGAGCGGGAAGTTACAGGGATGGCCTTTAGGGTCAACCGTCGTCCTAATTTTTTTGTTTTTCCTTCGTCCAAGTTCTAATTTAAAGTCTGAACTAAGGCACGTATTTTTTTTTTTTTCACTTCAAATGATCCTGCTAGGAGTTCTGCTGTCAACGCGGACACATCTTTTTCCGAGAGCTCGCCGGAAATGACGTCACAATGGCAGAGTTTTTAATATTTATGTTTCAAAAATTTCAGCAATCCGTTATAAAATATGTATATTTAAGACAGTAATAAGTTTAAATTAAATATTTCATTTTTTCTATAAAAAAAAAAAAATGGTTAAAAATAGGCCATTTCTTCCCGGAGGAAATCCATGTAACCCCTTACATGGGTTTCCTCCGGGAAAAAATGGCCTATTTTCAACAATTTTTTTATAAAACTGTCTTTGAAAACATAGTTTTGAGAAAAATGCGTTTAAAAACTTTAAAGTTTTAAGTGACAATACAACAGCGCTTTAAGCGCGCAAATTTTTAAAACTGTATCTCCGAAACTATTATTCGGATCGATTTGAAACTTTAGGACAATATTTTAGAGATGTTGTAGTAGTTAATAAGACAATAAAAAAATCGATTTTTTGAAACCTTGAAACCCATGTAACCCCTTAATATCACATAATTTTTTATTCAGGAGGGATAGCTTGTTTTTACAATTTTCATCTCAAAGCTGATTGAATGGTCTTTAATTTAACTCACAATTCATTAAATTCTTAATAATTATAAGCAAAATTAAAATAGCTGAAAGTCGTTTTAAATCAGTTTCAGGCATACATGTAATTTAATGCGGCTTGTCGACACGATAGCTTCAACAATTCTTGATGAATTTCTATAAAACTTGGCACATATATTCTTTAGATAATCATCTTGAATAAGTTAAAAAAATCAAATCAGCAAAATACTCGTAACAAAATTTAAGGTAGCAAAAACAATTTTAAAACTTTGTAGTAATTTTTGACGGGTTTCGCTTGAGTAATAATATCAATATAAAAAAAGAGTTTTCTTGAGAAGATTCTAGTTTTTGGATCTCCCGATGAAAAATTTTTTAGACTCATAGTTCTCACGCAATTCCAAGCAATAGCACAAAAAAAAAGATTCATAATTTTTTTGCACTCTCTTTCTTCCCTAGCGGTTTTGTAAATGCCGAAAAAATGTCGCAGTTATACAGTATTAATGCCGTATTTTTTCAGCATTTTTTCGGTTGTTTTGGTCAGTTTTTTTTATCGAAATATTACGGAAGATTTACCGTAAAAATGCGAAATATTTACGCTAAAAATGCGGCATATTTATGGTAATAAGGCGATAAAATGACTGTATTAAAACCATATTTAAAAAATGGTGAAAAATTAAATAAAGCTCAGACTGGGATTCGAACTCAGAACCTCCCGAGGACAAGTCGGCTATTCTACCATTTGAGCTACCCGGCTTGTACCATATTTATTTTTGCTTATTCTATATAAATTAAGCCATACCGTCCATCTTACGATAAGCATATTTAAAATTAAATAATGTAGTTATTATATATGTGAAACAATGTAACTTTTCGATTTTAGAAAATTTGCAATTTTCTAAGTGAGAAATTAAAAATTGAAATTGAAATTAGAATATATTTACTTAACAAATGTATTCTTTAATATTCATTACCGCTAAATACCTAATTAAAAAATAATATTCTACATAGTATTTATTTAAAAACAGTATTTGTTTTTGCAAAGTAGCGATTGCAGAAGTGAACTGAAAATAAAACCAAATTTTTAATAATTTTCCATTATGTCAGAAAATTTTAGGAAAAGTTACTGTATTATTACGGTAATTATTTGGAATTTTTTGGGTAAAATTTGGGCATTAATGCGGTAATTGTATAGTATATTTTCGGTAACTGTACAGCATAAACGCAGTATATATACTGGATATTTACAGTATAAAAACTGGCCAAAACAACTATAGTTTAACCGCATTATTACGGTAAATATACGGCATGAGTATAAATACCGAAAAATTACGGTATTTTTACGGCATTCTTAAAACCGCGAGGGTTGGTTTAGGGATTCAGGAAAATTATTTCAAGTTGAATAATCTTGTAAGCCTGAAGATCTTATTTCATAAATTAAATATCTCACAAGCGCACTAAATGATTTTGAAGAAATTGGCGGCCTCTGACGCAGTTTTCTGAACATTGATAGTTAAATTATGATATCAACAATAATCCGAGAATAAATTTTCGAAGTTATTTGAAAAAGACACCCTTTTAGAATCGTTAGTTTACGATTTCTCTTCGACATATTACGTCGTTTTTTAAATTTAAGAGCTGATTAGATTTTTGAATCAATAGTTACATCTGTTGAAAAGTTGTTAAAAAAAAAAGTTATTTTAAATTTATAAGGAAGACTAAGTTTCGCTGAACCTTATCGAATGACGTGAATATCGTTTATGTTAACACAAAGTGTGTTGAATTTTAACACTAATTTTGTGTTGACCGTATTTAACACAGAAATTGTGTTGATTTTACACAATATTTTCTACTGTAAATGTAGAGATCAGATTTGAACTTGATTTTCGAAAACTGACATGGAACCAATGACTTTCCGATTTTGTTAACTTCCCGTTAGGAAAAATTGACAATTTTTTTTTTAAACCATCTATTTGTAAAGTGAGAACTTAAACATTTTGGGGGTACCCCATTTTGCCCCCCTACCCCTTCTTTTATTATTTTGTAGTTAAAAAATCCATAAAATTATATTTAACCAATTATCATATTATAATTAACATGGAATATCATAATTGAAACATTTTTTATAAATTATTGAAAAATTTTTAAGTTTCAATTTTTGATCAATGATTTGAAGGTGAGGTTATAATTTTCCAATACTTCTCACTATTTGATGTTGTCTGGAATAATTTAGACTTAGAAAATTGTTGATACATAGATTTGTTAAATTTTCAGAAATTTATATAATCTATTATAGCGTACTTTATTACGACAAAAATGATAAAAATAAAAAAAAAAAGTTTGGAAAATCCAAAAGTGCACGCTCAATCATTTTTTAAGAAAAAAATTAATTGTGTAATTGATTAAAAAAACAAAAATTATAATTAAGTAATTTCTTACAGAGTTTTTTTTATTTTTTTTTTAAATATCAGCGCCCTTTTTTCTTGTCATATGCGCACGCAGTCTAAAAAAATCTAGCTTAATCAAGTGGCACCATAGTTTTCACGTGACAAATAAGAAAAGTTCGTTTGGCTTTGTGCGGTTGTATCGTAGTAAATTTTAATAAAAATTCAATTAAAAAAAAAAAATACGTAAACTAGGCCACTGATATTAAATATGGACCCAGTTAATCGAATTCTTAAACTAATAAAAAAGGTCTGGTTTTGAAATATCAATTTGTTCGGGAGTAATCGTTGGTACATCCAAAATGGGGTGACATCCGGACGTCCACGTAAAATTTTTTTCAAAACGTTTTTTTTTTTCAAAATAGCAACATGAAATGATTTTGGAAAGTAAAAGATGGTTTAATTTAAGTGTTTTTCGGTGTACATCTACTTATATTATTGTATAAGTGTAATATGGTTGTGATAGAGGCATTTAAAGATCACAAAATTGCTTGACTTTGACGAGTCGAGTATAAAGCATAACCTCACGCGCTTCGCGCTATGAGGCGTGCAATTTATGTATCGACAAAATTTTTTTTCATATAACCTGCATTGAAAATGCGAGTTTGCAATGCCTGTTGAGCCAACCGAAACTAGTCAATTTCAGACCAATGCAACTGTTACTGGGTAGAAAACAATCAACGGCGGAGATCCTAGGGTCCACCTTTACAAGCATGGAATGTGAGTGAATTCCATACATGTTTGTAAATTAATTAAAAATTCATTAAAATTGATTACAATGAATTAAAATTAACTAAAATTAATAATTTCGTTAAAAATAATAATATTTGAGATGAAGTTGCAGCTTTATTTTCAATCCTATCAGAGTACCTTTTATTTATTTTATACCTTTGTATTACTCATGCGGGAAAAGTAGTATCTTGGCGCTCGCTGTTGCGGTTGAAAAAGAGCTGTTTGCCCATTTTAAAATTACGCGTGAGTTTTTTCATAAATGAAACTGTTATTTGAGTGCGACAAGTTTACTTGTCGCACGAAAATTATTCTTGACGCATTCAAACTATCCTTGTCGCACGCAATTGACTGTGAAAACTGCTAAAATTAAAATAAATAACAAAAAAAAACACAATTTAACTGTCAATAGTAAAGAAGTGAGGTTGACATTACAAAGTTAATATTTTTAACGAAAGTATAAAAAATAATTAACTAATATTGAGCTGTTTAATTGTGATGAAAATTAATGTAGCAGAAATTTGATAATTTTAATAATTTTTGTAAAAAATAAATTATGACAAAAAAAAATTTTTTTTTTAAATTGACATGTAGGAATTTTGTAAAATAAAAAATTTAATTTTTAATGAATAATTTTTTGTAACAAATTTGTTTGTTAGAAAAAATTAAAAAATTGTGGTGACAACTAAATTTAATGTCATTTAATTTTATGTGTTGATTTGTGTTTCGATGTGTGAATTTATTTTTTGTTAATTAATATTAATTACTTTTTATTTGTTTTTATGGACTGGGGGGCTCCGCCCCCCCCCCCAACCCCCCGCCGGGGCTTTGCCCCTGGACCCCACCGGAGCTCTGCCCCTGGGCCCCGATTTTGTACCCACATCTATCGCCGCATTTGTAATACAAAATAGTATGTGCAACTCGTGCGACGTTGTCGATTACCCACTCAAGCGAGTGACCGCACTCGCTTCGCTCGTGCGTTCAACTTCGCTTTCGTTACACAATATACTATTATAATTGTGATTTTAACCGTTAATTGTATACTGACATATTATCATTCTGTTACTAGGCATAAATAAGAATGACAAAAGAAAACGATTCAATTTACGAATTATGTTTAATGAAAAATAAACTATTAGTTTCTTGAATTGTAGTTTTTAATTTCCTTAATGTTTAATAGTAAAATTGTATTTTCGCTATTCATTTGAAATTATCTAGTTCTGGTTGGCTCCATTCTTTAGAATTTTTTTTATGTACGTCTACTAATATCATCATATATTTATAATATAGTTGTGATAGAAGCATTTGAAGACCACAAAATTGCTTGACCTTGACATACTAAGAGTAAAATAGTGCCTCCACCGCTTCGCGTTAAAAGACGCGTAATTTACAAATTTGTCAAAATTCAAAAAATATTTATAGATTACGCTATTATAACTTAGATTATGCTATTTTATGGTGCTCAAAGAGTTAACTTCTAAAAAATTTCAATAAATTTAATTTTTGTTCAGATTGAAAAAATTATTTTTTACAATTTTTCAAATTTTGACCATGAGCTAATCGTGAAGAGAAGGAAAGAGAGCGGGGATGCTCATCGAAAGCAAGTACTTGCCACGAGAATAAAAATAGAAAAAAAAAATGCCATTTGGCCTCACCCGAAATGGAAGGTAGATTTCATTTGACATAAAATTCTCTTTATTTCCGTTATTATAATTTGTGAAAAACCGAATTTTTAAATTAATTACAATAAAGAAGTTCTGCAAAAGTTTTCTTGGTGTATTTACTATTTGGATAATTATTTTGGACTAGGGTAAAAGACCCTATTAGTTGCGGGGACCCCATTACTGACACTTTCTTTGATTTTGGTACTTATTCAATTAATGAAATCATTAATTTCAATAATAAATATATTATTTCTAATCTTTAAGACCTTTAGATCAAAAAAATTTTTAATTTTTATTCCAAGTAGAACATTTTTTCATTGAAAGAAAAAGTACCACTAATAGGGGTTAAAGGTGCCACTATGGGGTCTTTTACCTTAGTTTGAAGATCAGCAAAATCTGTCTAAAAATACTATTGAATATTTAATTTTAGTTATAATATCAAAGGTAACAAAAAAAAAAAGTCAATGTTATTATATGTACATTAAATCAAAGGCAATTATCATGAGCTTTTACATGAATTTATCAAAAATTAGCTATCATTTTTTCATCAAAATTTATATATAAATGAAGTCACCGAAAACGTAATTTTTACTATTTTGATCATTTTGAAGAGCTATTAATTCTGAACTAATTGAAAGATTTCGCTCATCTTCGAACTCATTCAAAGTTATTATCCAAAAAATATGTATACCAAGTTTCACCTAAATCCGTTGAGAATTGTAAGCGCTATCGTGTTATATACATACATTCATAAACTTTCGCACCAATACTACTTTTGAGCCATACTCCGGGGAGAAAGGTTTAGATCTGACCAGATCTAATTATATCTGGTCAGATCTATTTATATCTGATCAGATATGGGATTGGAGACATAATCAGATCTAGTCATATCTGATGAGATCTAAACAGATATAACTATATCTGAGTTGAAAAATACATCAGACATGAATAGATCTAGTCATATCTGATCAGATCTAAACAGATATAACTGTATCTGGGTTGAAAAATACATCAGACATAAAAAGATTTTATTATATCTGGCCAGATATAACTATATTTGTTAACTATTCATAAATACTTATAAACTATTTTAATAAATATACTTTCCTCCCAAATAAATATTTATTGAATGTTAAAAAATTTTTATTAGAATTTAATAAATTAAATAATTGTTTTCAAATAAATTAATTTGTTAATAGTTAATAAATCTTTCTATCAGCGTATATTGATAATTAATAATTTGCAAATTTGATAAAAAACTTTGTTTATTACGCTTCGATCATGGACACGATTCACATTACTTGTAGTTATTACAAACTCTACTCTTCAAGTAAGCCTCGTTGGTAAACAGGTAATGAATTAGTCTTTCAAGCATCAAGTCCCAGGTTCGGTTCCCGCGCGCCCCGATTTTTTTTTTTTTTATGGAAATAATTCTATGTAATTATATAGGGCCATTTTTCGTATATAATTATGTATGAGTATGTATAATTACATATAATCTTTTTTACCCGGGCAATTTAAAGATCTGACCAGATCTGATTATATCTAGCCAGATCTCGTCAGATAGAGGCAACTTAAAGATCTGGCCACATCTGTTTATATATGGCCAGATCTAATCCGTTTTTCCCGGGACTCGACTAGTTAGATGATATTATAACAAAACTCCGACTTACTTTTGACATGAGGACCAATGCAATAGATAGATTTCAATGGAATCTACCTAATACCGTTAACCCTACACGGTGAGAAATTTCCAACGAATTTTACTATGGGCGCATAGTAACACTGAACTATAAGAAAACTGATACAAAATTTACAAGGTCCCATAGTAAACGGTATGCACAGACTACACAATCGTGTCTCTGCGCATACTGTTTGCTATGGGAACTTGTAAATTTTGTACCAGTTTTCTTATGGTTCAGTGTTACTATGCGCCCATAGTAAAATTCGTTGGAAATTTCTCACCGTGTAGGGTTAACGGTATTAGGTAGATTCCATTGAAATCTATCTATTGCATTGGTCCTCATGTCAAAAGTAAGTCGGAGTTTTGTTATAATATCATCTAACTAGTCGAGTCCCGGGAAAAACGGATTAGATCTGGCCATATATAAACAGATGTGGCCAGATCTTTAAGTTGCCTCTATCTGACGAGATCTGGCTAGATATAATCAGATCTGGTCAGATCTTTAAATTGCCCGGGTAAAAAAGATTATATGTAATTATACATACTCATACATAATTATATACGAAAAATGGCCCTATATAATTACATAGAATTATTTCCATAAAAAAAAAAAAAAAAAAAAAAA